CTCTTTTTAAAAAAGCCTTCATGCAGTTTCTAATCCACTGACTCCAAATAGCATGACCTGACCAATGCTAATGCGAGGCCATATTTGAACAGGGAGATTTGAGGCTGTAGAATGGTTCCCAAAGATAGATAATGATGAATGTTATGGATTTGTGCACTGGGGTTTAAAATTGCCCTGTCCTGCCCTGAGCCTCCTTACACATACAAATAGTACAAAGAGTTTGTGAAGAGGGCATTAGCTCCACTGGGGGAAAGCTTTCCTTGTCTCTAGAAGAACAAACCTCTATCAGATGTGTTGAAATCTCCTACTTGACCCTTGTCTAACCTTCAGCCCAAAACGCACAAAGTAAGATAGAGCTAATCCCAGAAAGCAGGTTTAAACAAACAAGCCAACAGTCCACCACGTCTTTGAGAAGGCTGATTTCCCTACTTTCTCGCACACATTCTCTTTGGGAGACAACAAGCCTAGGACTCCAAGCTAGGTTAAGAAGTCCTTGTTTGGAGGTTGTAAGACTCACAGCAGCTACTTAATCAGTGGTGCCCAGAACATCTGACTGGCTTTTGCTGGACTTTTCTAGAGTAACATTGTATGGTGCTTCAGTGTTCATAGATTGCCAAAATATATATCAGAATTTAAACATTTCTGGCAATGATGTCTTACATAATTATTTCAAAGCATCCTCATTTATTTAATTAGGATTTTTTCATAGTTGATTCATTCACATTACAATGTCTACCATTCCACAACAAGGTAACCAACAGGTCTTCTTTGTGAAATCTCCTTTTCCACTATAGTTGCAGATTTGTAATATAGAAAAGAAGGAAAATGTGGGTCATTTCCAACTCAAGATGCATTTTTCAATAATACTGAAATTGAGATGATATGTTTTCTGTGACAAGATAAGAAGGAAACTTGATTTTTTGGTTCCATTTAAGAGATGTTAAATGAGAATTATAAAAATTAATTGAAAAAGTATTTGTTGTTTAGACAAATAAAGATTTTGGATGTTGTGTATATTTGAATAGAAGATATACATTGTTTTATCTGGCTGTGAAATTCATAAACGCCTTCAAGAGAAAGCATCACACATGTATACAAATCCATGTGTGTGTGGATAATTAACATACAAACATACACAATTATAAACAATTTTGCACACACCAATGTTTTAAAACATTCTGGAATGAATTTTAATTACATATGTTATTTTCTCTGTGTGTGTATTTAATCCATTAATCCTTTGCATGATGAGTGTCTGGACACTAGACTGTCAAGTCTGCAGGCACTATGCAATCCAGTGTGTGATTAACCTGTGCTGCTGGTGAAACGCTAAATGCTTTTCTTTTGTGCATGATCATGGGAAAGAAACACAGACACTTTGGAAATTATTTAAAGACCAATACCTGCTCTGGGTTATCAAAGTATCATCTCTCTCACCTGTGGACCAGACATGAGCCATGGCACAACAGAGAGTCTGAAGCACTTTGAGCATGTTTTTATCCTTACGAGCATGAAAGCACTAGATCAGCAAGATGCAGTAGAGGAAGATCAGGGAGGCTGAATGGGTGAACTGAGCAGAATACACATCAAGGGAATTGTGTGAGAAACTACCAAATGGCAGGATCTGTGATTTGCAACCTTTCACTTCATATTCCAGAAAAATAAACAGTCCCTGAAACAAGAGTGGGCATTTCTGATTTCAGTTAGGTGCTGAATTGAAATTGAACCACAGGATTTCAAATTTCAAGTTTAGTTTTATTGCATACACCTTCATTTCTATTTCTATTTATATTTTTAAATCTGATATTTAATGACATTAACCCAATCAGGGATGTGTCCAAAGTCTGCTGTTGACCTAACTGTCATGCCTTATAGGATATTGGCCCTTTTCTTCATTCTTGAAGTATTATGGCATTAATACAAAATACTTGAGCTTTTCCCCAATTGGTACTTGAAAAAACTTTTAACTGCTTGACTTCTTTCACTTTTTTGATATTTATCATCAATTTTTCCCTTTGGAATATTGACTTTCCATTAATCTTCTTAGTTTCTACCTCCATGATTCCTCGAAGATGTACAGTCCAGCCTCTGTTTCTATCTCTCAATTCTCTTGTCCATGAGTTCTCCCATTATGTCAATGTGAAAGTTTTCTCTCTCCCAATTCCTGATTTTCTTTCTTATGATTTCTAACCTATTGTTCCAACAATCTTTTGAGAATTTTTTTTATTATGAGTAGATTATTTTTAACAGGTTTCTACTTAATGTTTTATATACCGTATTTTAAAATTATATAATTCCTGAATCTTATTTTATGATTGTCAGGCTTTCCAATATATCTTTGAATATTTTAAAATATGATTATAATTAAGAACTTTATGGTTGCTATTTCCCTTGCTTTTCATTTTTCTGGAATTAATGTACCCATTTGGGGTACCTAAAGACTAGTTTATAAGGTACCATACTTCCTCAGATTTTATAATTCTGACACTTGTAACTGAGCCCATCTTCTACTGGTTATTCTACATAAGATTGTGGAGATGCTGTGTTCTACAGTTTTGAGTATGCCTCTGCCTTTTCCCTACATTACCAACTTTAACCTAGTTTTAAATTACCATCCCACCTTGGGCCATCCCTACTCACAAATAGTTTAAGTTCAGAACATGTACGCTCCTGCAGTGCAGGCTTGATGTTCCAATGTCATTGCAGTACGTCTTTTCTATCATAGTTTGAAATGCATGGTTTATATCCTGATTGAATCTCTGAACTGGAAGGTGGACGACTGCAATTCCTTGTCACAGACTATGGACCTATATTATGGTCCCAGCTCTAACTGCCTATGAAAAGCTCAATTTTAATTCCTTTATGTCTTTGGAACCTATATTCTCAAATCTAGTATTTCCTGCCTGGGCATTCTAACCCTAGCTCCCATGGATTGTACCCAGATTGAAAGTATCCTACTTAGTGACTGAAAATTACTGGTTCATGTACTTCTCAACAGTGAGTTTCTTTTTGTTTCTAACTCTTAAAGATTAATCTTCTGTTCTAGTCAGTTTTTCAATGCTGTAACAAAATACCTGGGAAAAACAACTTAAACAAGGATATTTATTATGGCTCATGTTTTCAGAGACCTAAGTCCATGATCACTTGACTCTATTGTTTCTGAGCCTGCAATGAGATATACATCCTTTTGGGGAAGGCATGGCAAGGCATAGCTCCTATTCTCATGCTAGCTGAGAAGCAGAGAGAGATAGAGGGGGTAGCGAGAATCCAGGGGGAAATATTACCTCCAAAGACATGTCCACAGTAACCCTCCTTTTCCAACATGGCCCTGCATTCTCAAGTTTCCACTACCAGTAGCTCCACCAGCTGGGGACTAAGCCTTGAATACATGAGCCTTTGGAAGTTACTCCAGGTTCATATTGTAACATGTTTTCTTTTGGTGTTTAGTTCTGCCATGGTTTTAATGTTCTGTGTTAAAGTTATTTGTTTAGTATTTCTATGTATTTGAAACAGAAGAGAGCATTTTAGCTTATGCTTTTTCTGCCATTTTGACACAGATTTTAACATGAATCTTTCTTTTGCCCTCAAATAACTAGAGCCTAATTTTGCTTAGAATGTTTAATTAATCTGTGATAGATTGGAATGGGTATGAGAGCAAATAAGAAATTATAATAATCAAAAACTGAGATTTAATAGAATAACATATACATATTCCTTGTGGATATTGAAATTTTTGACCAAGATCTATTTCAAAAACAGAGCTAATTTTCCTCTTACAAAAACAACTTTCTGTGATATATCCTAGTTCTTGAGCACATTTTTAACATAGCCAATGTCCTGAGTTCAATCCATGGCAACATCAAAAAAAAGCTGTTATGAGAATATATGTAATAATATACTAAGCATTTGAAAAAGACTATGTGCACTACTAAGCTTCTTTGGTATGCATCTCTTCACTTTTGTGTACTCCTTTTTTATACTATTCTTTTCTGTACTTATTGATCTAATACTTTAAAATTATTTTAACTTATGTAAATTCAGTCTTTTCAATTGGAATAGATGGTAATTTTGTTTGAAGTATTACAGTGATATGGGGAGTTTGGGATCTGAAAATAATAGGTATCATTATCCTGACTGGTAGTTCCAGGCAAATGTTCACTGGCCAGTGGGGGCGGCAAGCTGTTCTGCTCCATGATTCTTTTCTTCCCAGCCCTCTTGAAAACATATAGCTATTCTTATGCCATATTTCTCCCCTTTGGGATAGAAATAAGGATGCTAAGGATGGTGTTGGAGGAAGATCTGAGTTACCAACTATTATACTTTTGTAAAATAGCAAGGGAAAAAGCATTATCTGTAAATATGTAGTACTAAAAGTTATTTTTTTCTGTTTATTTCTTCAATTTTTTTTTTTTACTTTTACTATGCTGAAAATAGAACTCAAGGTCTTGTCCATGCTAGGCAAGAGTTCTACTTCTGAGTCATATCCCCAATCCTAAAATTTAGTTCTAACAATTATAAATTTTATACTGGCTAGCTGTTAGGGTCTGTAAACAAGTCAAGATGGCGCCTGGCATTTTGCCAGAGGGAGTGGTTTGTGAGGTAATGCCAGCGAGCCATTAAGTGTGGAGATTCCTTATTGGTTGACTGCTGTATCTAGTTTATGCTAATTAAGATAAGCTGTGTGTAATGTATATATACACCTCCTGTCCTACAATAAACGGCTCCCACTCCTGCTGTATCAATGTACACAGGTTGCTCGTCAACCCCCCCACCCCCCACCCCCCGCCCCCCGCGTTATTTTGCTGCAGCCGGACTGCGGCAGCTAACTCTAATACCAAATCATTTTTCCCTCAGTGTATAAGAAACTAAACAAACCAATTATTTAAGAAGTTGTTTTTGACAGTTCGATTTTATAAGTTCTTATTGATTCAGTTAATACCTGTGATAACTGTATTAGTCAGCTTTCTGTTGCTATGAAAGAAATGCCTGAGATGATCAACTTAAAAACAGGAAAGGTTTATTTTGGCTCATAGTTCTCAGTCCTTGGTTGCTTGGCCCCCATTGCTTTCAGGCCTGGGGCAAATCAGTACACTGTGGCAGAAGTGTGTGGTGGAGGAAACCGATTCACCAACATCTCTTTCACAGGCACAACCCCCAGTGACCTAATAGCATTCCACCAGGCCCCAACTCCTAAAGTTGTCACCACCACCCCAAGGCACCAATACCTGGGGACCAATTCTTCAACATTTGAGCTTCTGGGGACATTTAGCATTGAAAGCAAAGCAATAACTACTTGTTTAACAACTCTGTCCTGGTTTCTGCCTGTCTTAGCCTGGGTCTCTCAGAAGTGAGAGCCCAAGACAATGACTTCCATGTTCCCTTTTCGTTAGTGCAATCCTGGGAAAACAAAAGTGAGGGAAAAGAAGAATGAGATAGAGGAAAATGATCAGCCCATGTGAGGGTTTCTCATTCATCCAGATATTCATTAAACCTGAACTTGCAGAACTGCTTTCCATGAAATCATTGAAATATCTGCAGCACAGGACAGTTCATTCTGGAATGGGAAGGAAGAAGCCTTTATTCTCTGGCTCCAGGCTTTTCTTTCTTTTCCATACAAGGTGTCAGTTCCCCCATCAATCTTCTGGATTGCCTGTGTTTCAGCCTCAGGAGGAAACCTGGGAGATTCAGGTATGAAGTGAGGGGCTATTGGGCTGTGCCCCCAGGTTGCTGTGTGGCCTCCTCGAGAAATTAGCTGGTCTCTTTCGTATTGTCTGAGATGAGAATAAGCAGCTGAAGGCCCTGCACACAGGTGAGAGAGAGAAAGAGAGGATCTCACACATGTGCTAAGATAACCATGATGGTGGCTTTCTCCTTCCAAGGAAGATAAGATACTGACTCTTTATGAGTACTAAAACAATACAAAAAAATAAATAACCTACAATTGCTCTTTAGAGTGAGGCTATGAAACTATGTATATGGGCAAATGAATGCAACCCAGGGTGAGAAAGGAAAGTAATATTTAAGCTGATACTTTGAAGATAAGATGGGAATTGTCTAGTCAAGAAGAGGAAAGAGAGGATAGAGGGAAAAGTGTTTTAGGACAAGGGAACAGAGTACACACAATACCAGTAAGAGTACTGATAACTTGCAAAAATATAGAGTGTACAATAGTGCTCCAACCAAAATCTGTGTACTGTATTTGTGGTAAAGAAAAATTTTGTACTTGTAAGCAAATGCATTCATGCAAAAGATGTATGCCAAAATGTTTTGTAGAGACAACATCTATGGGAGAAAGAAAGCAGCTGTTATTGAAGGAGGGAAAAAATACAGCTCAGTGCCTAACCATCCCATCCCCATCAAATATTCTTATTATAATATAATAACAATAATTAATAAGGATGATGGACAACCATTTGTATTTGCAATAAAAGGGTAATTGTTGCTCATTTTCTTTTGGTAGTGCCACTGTTGAATTAATCATACCCTTGATGAATTACTGAAACACAGTGTTTTGCTTTTGTAGGTGTCCTCATTCTCTGCAGTTGTTTTTATTATGAAGTGTCATAGACTTTTAATGGCAAAATTAAAGAATTGATAGAGGATGGGGAAAAGATAACTTTTCTGGCTGTTTCTATATAAATGTGTCTTTTCTTGTGCATGTATGTCTTTAAAGTATGCATACATGTACTATTGTTACCTTCAACAGAGGGTCAATTGATCTTTAAAGAAATCTTTAAGTGAGACAGAGAGACTAAAAACCAGAATTCCTTTTCCCCAATTTTGGTGGATTGAAGCCAGGGGCATAGTGACAATTTAATGTGCCTCATCATGTCAGTTAGAAATATCAAAAACATTAAGGTGGAAAAAGAAGGTATTTCCCCTGGAAGATTGGAAGATTGAAAAAGAAGAATTTCTAAGTCATTGAAGCTTACTGGTCAGTTTGATTCTTTGCTGTTTAGCAGAGAAATTCAGTGTAACAACTTCAAATAATTTAGGAATTTGGTGTAAGTATCCTGATGTAGAAATGATTTGTTCAGTCCATTTATTCCGACAATGCTATTAAACTAAGTCTACAGAACACACTCCCTTCATTGACGTTCAATACTCTAAATGACCCCTAAATTCCTTTTTATGATGATTGTAGAATAACTTTGCAAAATATACATAGCATTTCTACTTGGGTGAAATGCCATATGATTGGAAAAAAAGTCTTAAGAATGAATGTCATGCTGTGCAGAATCAACTTTGGTAACAATCTCAAAATAGTGGCTACTTTTTTCATTGTTGATTATGAATTTGGCAAAGAAACGTAGTCTTTTGTTCATCCACTGGGTATTAATGCATAGCAAACAGCATAATTATATTAGTGAAAATTCCATAAGCCACAGCATGTCATTCTATAGCAGAGAACACACTATGGCCATTATGGCCAAAATTGTCAGAGATTCCTTGGCTGACGCTAGCATAGTGTCTGATGACATCAGGGGCTTTTTGTAATTCTGTTGTTACAAACTGACAGCATTTTAATGGCATGCAAGAACAAGAAAGCTGTGCTGCGTCGCATTTTCCCATATTCAGAAGAAGCGTATGCTAACACAGCTCATCATTACATGGATTTAGATGGAAAATGAATCCTATCTTGTCCCTTGAAGTATAATTACATGGCCATACTGTAATATGTCTAGCATATAAGGCAGCTGTTAGGGTCTCCCTAACGAATATTATAAAGCTGTTCTACTCTATTTGTTAAACATATTCATTCTGTGTGGTGGATCTTCAAAACCAAAGTTACTGGTGCAGATTTTGCTGCTAGCATCAATTGTTGGGCTGTCGTGGACCAGTTCAGAGCAACTTAGGAGGACAGGAATTTTGTAGTTGGAGATCAAAATTTACCATTGTTCAGGTCAGGTTAGAGAATGAGATCTGAAAGGGAAGTGGTTTTTCTTTTCATTTCAACTCACCCCTGTGTGACAAATAACACTGGAAACAGGGGAGCCCTGTCAGGGCCAGGCCTTCTCTGCTAAGCCTGTCTGGAGATCAAATGAGTGCACACCCTCTGCAGGACCCCCTGAGCAAGGAGGGCCAGTTCCTCCTGCCAAATTCATCTGTGGGAGGAGTCAGCTCCACTCCAGGGGAAGTCAGAGGGAGGAGGGAAAAGAGGTGAGGAGAGAACTGGTTGGTTTTTCCATGGGGCTTCCATGGCAAAACAGGGAACAGGATCAGGATCCTCCCCCTTCCCCTAATACCTAGGAAGTCAGAGAAGGCTTCCTTAAAGACACTCTGTACCTTTTATAAACCATGGCCTGTTTTGGAAATATGACCTAGGACAAGATTTATGTGCAATTGGTGATGTAGTCAGAGAGGGTTTTAACTCTTTGTCCTAAATTCTAGAAATGCTTAAAAAGCACATCCCTTTCACCTCATCCAATTGTGGTACTTCAGTGCTCAGTATAAAATGAAACCTGGAGGCATTAATTCCACTGCTGTCTGGCATCTGGCCTGCCTGACCTTACCTCCCTGTCCCTTCTTTCCCACCTGTACCCTCACCTCCAGTATCCCTCAGTGACTTTTAGGAAGGGGCCACATGTTTCTGGGGAGGTTTTGCATGTCTTGTTCTGTTCATGTTTGACTCAAATGAAATCGCTGCCACCGCTACACCCATGTGGAGATAAGGACTCTGATGGTGTGCTGCTTGCCCAGGGTCACAGGGTCTCTGCTCCTGGAGTGGAAAAATAAACCCAGTTCTGTGTCATTCCAGAGGCTCAGCTCCATACCTCTGCTCTCAGTCTCTGTACGTAAAGCAGCTGTAAACCCATCTGAAAATGTAGGTACTTAATACATACCTGTGTCCCCTGCCACCAAAGAGAAAAAATTCTGTTAACTATATCTTTTGTAAGCCTCATATCCATATTTCACATCTGATAAAAATAAATTTAATAATTCACTTTTAACATTCTCCTATTAGAGTTTTGGGTGTAAGCAGGAATATTCCAGATTGTTTGAAATTTGTAAACAATAATAAAGATGTCTCACATTTCCTGTGAATTAGATGCTAGCTATGAAAAAAAATGGAGTTAGCGTGAATTTTAAAAGTTTTAAATAATATTTGATGCATTTTCCTCTATTGTCTAGACTTTTCTAGGAGATATGTTTTAGTGCATCCAGAGCACCTGCATTGTCTCCAAGAATTCTACTCTAATTATAAGGTAATTTAAATAATAATACAAGTGGAAAAAAGGAAACCAGTAAAGCTAAATAAACAGAGCTAATCAGTCCCATTGTGTTTTTTGGATAAGGCCTGTTTAATTTATTTTTTATTGTTAAATTACATTTGTATGGTTAACAATTTGGAAAATATTTAAAAGCATCAGAAAAATATTATCCATTAACATATTATCTATAAAGAACTTTGGTATTTTGGTATCGATCTTTTAAATTTATCTTTTATTTAATTTAGTCCATTTTTATGATTGAGATCAGTTTGTACAAAGAATTTTAAATTCTGCTGCAACTCTTAAAATTTTATCATATACATTTTTCTTGTTATTACAAACAATTCATAAAAAGAAATTTAATGGCTATTCATTCCATTATGATAATACTTCACTATTTACTATTTTCTTGTTGTTGGATTTTTTTATACTGAAGTTTTGTAACTAGAAATGACATGATAATGATCTCTATAGGGGCATCAAGCATAAAACTTGATTTCTTCACCTCAGATAAATTCCTTGGTTTATACTCTAAAAACCTGAATTGCTAGGTGAGGGGGCATTACCTCTTAAGGGCTTTTGATGTATATTGTCAATTGCTTAATTTAAAAATATGTATGTGCTAGTTTTTACTCATAGTACTTTGTTTCCTTTAAGATGTCTGTAGTTTAAAATTAGAAAACAGAACAAAACAAAGTTCTCTTCAGGGAAGTTCCAATCTGCCATCTTGAAGAGAGGAGAGTGTGAAGCCAGGGTCTACACAAGGTCTACAGTCCAAGAATCTCTTTTCAACATCAAGTTGCCTCACTTCAGTTCCAAGTCCCAGGGGAAGAAGTCCTTAGCATGGTTTTCTCTGTGGGTATGCTTTGGAGCAGAACTGACCTTCACTGGCTTATGAGAAATCATCAAGCATGCAAGAATAGAATGAGGATTAGATGGCCACTTTTCTACAAAAACCTTATTTAGCTTCTCCCTTTGTAACAGGAGTCCTTGCTCAGAACACTTCCTATTCCAAATACTTGTGATAACCAAGTCATAATTCTGTAGCAATGGAGACAATTAAATAGTAGGTCAAAAGGTGTGTGTGTGTGTGTGTGTGTGTGTGCATGCGTGCACAAGCATTTGTGAAGGAGCATTGTGTGTGGTTTGTGTTTTTGTGTCTGAGTGTGAATGAGTGGTGTGTATGTCTGTGTATGTGTTTGTATGTCTGTGTGTGCACCAAGGAGAGGCAAGAGGAGATGTGGTACTACTGGGAAAGAGGTGGAAATGGGATAGGAAGGAAAAACAGAAAGAGGTGGGGGGAAGAGGGAGAGAGAGAAACAAGATATGGCACATATATTATTTAACCTGAAGCTAAAGTATGTGATCACTGGGAAATGAGTCAAATGTAAAATTTTGCGTGGACCTCTGCACCTCGAATTTCTTCACGTTTCCATTTGGACTGAAACAATTCTTAATGCAACTATCTACATTTGTCTTTTCATCAAGTCTTTTCTCCAAAAAGATTGTATGTTTGATAAAATCTCACTTACCCAAGTTTGCAAGCTTATTTGTTCAGGAAAAATAGAAAGATATGACTGAAGATTT